TGTCTTAGTACAGAGAGTAGCAACGCCATTCTACTGCATGACAGTGCACAGCAGAGGGTGAGCAGTCAGTGTCTCCTTGTACGGTTCTCCTACTGTGTGTTTCTCTAACAAATTCCCTTGCTTGGCTTGGACACAGTGAAATGATGCTGGTGCTGGGATTGAAGGAGTCCTCGATCCCATGAGCACAAGATGCAATGTACTTTCTGCAGGACAGCAACTTCTCGTGCCAAAGATCCTCCCTTCATCCTCCCTGCCCAGGTCTTGATCCTAGCTTATATTGGCCATGGCAGAGAATTGATGGCATGAGAGAATCTAAGTTGGTCCTTCTATCTTCCAGCAAACTATGTGTAGTATTGTACTTCTCTTGGAATGTGGGGCCTGGTATCTATCAGTCTTCAGCCATTGGAATTTAACTACTCAGAATTACAGCTAATACGTTCCCTTGCCAGTAGGTTCATGAGACCTAATACAAGTGTGGATCATTCAAGCACTTTTACGATGGCATAGTGTTAATTGCTTTAATATTTGAACTTACATATAAAATGTTTGGCTTGGTATGAAGTAGACCTAGAACATTTTCTGGATACTATGAATTTGCTATATTCCTGAAGCTAAATCGATTGTATTTAACTTCCAGGGTGAAAAGGAGAAACCTGTGTTTGAAATGACTGGCCTCTGATGGGGATCCTTCAGAGATGCTGGTGTCAAAGTTAGCAAGTAAAGGGTTGCTGTGTTCATACGTGATGGTTCTTTAAACGTTTTTTTAACGTTAAAAAAAAACCTTTTTGTTGTTGTTGTTGTTGTTGAGCTTTTAAAACAGCAGTCTGCAAGTAAATCCTTTGGCTCAGATACCTGAATTGGGTTTTGGTAATGAAATAGGAGCGAGCACCCAGGTAAAAGTTTGGAGTCTGTAGGCTGAATGGACAAGAAATAGGCATAAAGAGAAGGGCACGTCTGTTTGCACACATGTTTCTAAGGGTCAAGGCTTTGCTGACTGCAAGAACAGGCTCAAGAGGAGCGCCTGGCAGGCTGCTGCTGGCTCTCATGGGGATAGAATTACTTTTGGAGACTCATGTGGAATGAAGCTTCTGCCTAGGAAAGAAGGATGGGCCAGCTGCCTGAGGCAGGACTGAAGGAGACAACATCCAAGGTTCATTTCATTTCTAGTGGAGGTGCCGTCCTTCCTTAGCCTAGAGCCCAGGGCTTATGGTTGTAGGAGAGGCACTGAGTTAAGATTGAGTTAGTGTACAGCTCTCTCATCAAGAACCTCTCTCGCAGTTATGGACAGACTGCTAAACATTCTTCACAGAGATTTCTCACACGTTTCACTCTGTTGTCCCTGGTGATGAATTCCTGAGAGCGGAGTGTCAGGAGGAGAGTCCTGCTGTATCTCATTGCACCACAGTCGTAAATGCTTCACGTCTTTCTGTTTGCGAGTGTGCCATGGCTATGCTGATGCCACAGGTTACCTTGGGTGTGGTCTGTCATCTCGGATTCCCACAGCTCGCTGGGAGAATTGCTTAGCTTTCTCTGAGAAAGTCTGCTCAGAACAAACCACTTCCCGGTGTTCTGATCCACAGTTCAGCACTAGTGCAGGTCAGCTATCTTAGGAACAGCTCATCTCCCTGCTCATATATGGGCTGCCTTCTGAACCATGAGTTTTAAGATCTGCAGGTGGTCATATAACACCTTGGCTAGGACTGACTGCTGAGTCATTTCTGGTGTAAAATAAGAACCACTCCCTTGCTGGCCACTGGAAGACTACAACCATAGTCAAGTTCACTACTGGAAAAGGTACAAGGGACTGCTGATACTTTAGAAATGGACAGCCTGAATCAGGGCATCTTTCTGCTTGGGAAAAGGGAGTATAGAGAGAGGGGTTCAAAAATACCATAAGATACCAAATATCTAAGGCCCTCATAGATACACTCACAGTATTAATCTGAATGATAATTTAGAATGATGCCACTTTGGCTTTATCTGACTTCCTTGTTCTGGAATTTGGGCCCAACTTACTGTGCCATCGTCCCTAATGGCCAATTCTCTGTTTTATTTTTAAGCCTTGCCCTTTCTCTGGCTGCGATCCCTCTTTCTACCTGAGTTATTTCACCACCCCCCCTTTTGTCATCTAGATTTGGGTCCCTTACAGTCACTTTCTGCTCCATACCTTGTCGCAGGAGGTCCTTCCGCTCCTCCAACCAATAGTTGCTGAGATACCAGCCCTTTGGGGCGTGGTCTCTCTCCCTTTAAAAAATGGCTACTTCCCTCCGCTCTCTCTCTTCACTTCCTGCTCCGCCTGCGACTCAACTCCCTTCCTGGTTGCGCAGAGGGCTGTTGTCTGGGACGGTGATCTGTAAGTTTTTTCCTCTTTAAATAAATACCACCCTATCATAATTCCAAACTGGCGTGGCATTGTTTGTGACTTACGCCTTCAGTACCTGTGCTTTATCCTGTGTCTTTTATTTCACAGGTTGACCACACTGTTTTCTTTCTTCTTTACTTTTCTTACCAGTAAATAGTGATCAGTTTATACTACAACATATGTCGTCACTTATTAGTGTTATTTGGGAGCTGTTAGCTTCTCAAATCATGGGTGCAAAGGAAGGAATTTTACAGTGTTCTTCTGTATTTTTCTCCATATATGTAATAGGAGCTAAATAAAAGCCTTCAGACATGAATCAGTCAGGAGCAGTCAAGTAGGTACAGCTACATCTAAAGAGTAGCATTTATATCACTTTCTGATTGCAACCTGGCATCTTCCTCTCTCTAGTAGCTTTTACCCACTTAACAGCATGTAATGAATTTTTCCTCTGAGGCTTTATACTTGGCATAATAAAGCTGTATAATGTGAGTAATACGACCCAGTCCTCTATCTTTAACACATTGGGTCACACAGCATCTATAATACACTATCTCTATGTGACTTTATTGTTCTCTTCTTGTTGATCTTTTGACTGTATACTCAATCTATTCTATGGGTAAAAGTCTATATTATAATGACTTGTAAATTTAGGCAATACATCTCTTATTAACTACAAGAATCTTTCTACCATCTAATTGCATATTATTAAGTGTGCCATTAAAATGTAGGTTAAAACTGTATCATGTTATGCTACAGTTCTCTAGCCAATCATCAAGAGCAGCCAGTCATAGCAGAGGTACAATCCTGATGCATTGATTGTCCTAGATGATTTCTAACACGTTGGTAACTCTTCTCCTCTTTTCATCTTGGTTTCCTAAGGTACTGGTATCTTGGTCCACTGAAAATCAAAGCAGCCCACTTTTTCAGCACTCTACAGGTAAAAGCGATTTACAATTTAGAACCTGACCTATGTTAATTCAATGTTTCTTTGTGATGTGTGTATTTGAGATATTAATTCCTTGATACAGAACCATATCACATGTTCTAACACTAACATGGGGGTATTTGATTTTTACTTACAGAAAACATTCTTGTTTTGATAGACAAGCACCCCTCATGTCTGTCTGTCTGCCTGTCCATCTGTCCGTCTGTCCGTCCATCCATCCAACCATCCAACCATCCATCCATCCATCCATCCATCCATCCATCCATCCATCCATCTATCCATGCTCATTCTATTCATGAAAAAAAAACCCATATTTATTTGTCTTGTATACTTGCCTTTGCTACTCATTCACACACCCTTGCCAGACAAACCTTGAACAGAATGTCTGGATCATTAATATGTGTATCTATATTAGTACCTGGTAATGACCTGAAGATTTGGAGTCAATTATGGATAAATTAATTATATTGGAGTCTATATATTATCAGTAGGTTTTAAACTGTATTGGTTAAATAAGTGTGGTACCTACTATACTGGACAGTACTGATACAGAACATTTTCCTCATCACAAAGTTCTGCTGGGCTGTGCTCTATATAGAATATATCAAAAAGTAATAAGGTCTGAGGTTGTAGCATAGTACAGTGGCAGAGCTCTTGTCTAGCATGTATAACGCCCTAGGTTTGATTGCCAATGAGAGAGTAGGGGGCATAGAAAAAAGTCTCGACTATTTCATATTACTGAAAAAGCAAATAGGAAAATCACTCAATAGATGAACTATATACTGTGTTCATCTTTCATGTAGACCACAATTTGAGTCATTTCCCGAAGAATCTTACATAAATTATTTATGCTACCCTCAGACTATATACCACATGTGTCTATGTGAGAACATTTAACCACATTTTATAATAAGGTTTTAAAAAAGTGTTCAATTCCAAAGAAACACCACCTGAAATCTCCATGTGTTACACAGCACAGTAGCACTCAGGGTGATGTGCATGGGGACAGACCTTTCTCCTAGCCTTCAGGAGACTGTAAGTTGTAACACTATTTTTGGTAGTGTCTATAAAGAGTCTAGAACCCATGCATACCCCTTGTCCTAAAAAGTATAATTGTTTAGCTGTGGGTGTGAACAGTTAAATTCTTAGTGTACTTACAAAGAATTCTGAAACCACCGTGAATTGACGAGGTTGGAAAGTCCTTTGTTCAGGGGATTTTTGAAAAGAAGATAAAATCTCTATTACACATTTTCTTTATTCTTAGTCTTTGGTGACAGTGTATTCCCAGGATATTGCTTGTGCTCCTTTGCCATTGTTCTCTGATGCGTTAATCTCTGTGATGCATTGAACTGAGTGAGCTGTGATTGCAGCTCTAGGTGAGCCACATTCAGGACGCTGAATGCTCTCATCTTTGTGCTGATTACAAAAGTCTGTGACACTGTGCTGTCACTAGTGGAGCACATTCTTCTTTTTTTTTTCCTCACCACTTTGCAAAGCAAATTCTGATGGAGGAAGGACATTAGTTAATTATAATAAAGAAACTGCCTTGGCCCATTTTATTGGTTAGAACATAGGTGGGTGGAGTAAACAGAGAGAATGCTGGGAGAAAGAAGCTGAGTCAAGGAGTCACCATGATTCTCCCACTCCAGACAGACACAGGTTAAGATCTTTTCTGGTAAGCCAGCTCGTAAAGCTACACAGAATATTAGAAATGGGTTAGAACAATATGTAAGAGCTAGCCAATAAGAGGCTGGAACTAATGTGTCAGGCAGTGTTTAAAAGAATACAGTTTCCATGTAATTATTTCGGGCATAAGCTAGCCATGCGGGCGGCCGGGTGCCGGGGACGCAGCCCTGCCGCTCCTATTGCTACAATATTCAGGTACTGTAGCTGTCATGTAATAGCTTGAAATGTTTATCATTAAAATATTATCTCCAAGTATGAAAATGGCTTTAAGAGTGTAGAATGTCAGAAATTTAATATCTCTTAATAAAACATGTTTATTCTTTAACAGCAACAAATTAAATAGATTGATTAAATTAATATCATGCTTTTATTTAAAGTAATATGTGATCTTTGTATTTACTAATGTGGCAAAATGCTCACCAGTTATGGCTGAGTGAAAATCAACTTAAACTGATTTTTATGAGGTGGTTGTTTTCATTTTTATTCAAAAGAGAAAAGCTGCCACCTGAAACTGAGCTTTGTGGAGGTAACTGATGAATTGTGGAGGAAATTGATGAAGACAAGGCTCCAATTTTATTTACTCATTTTAGTAGCCAGTTGTTTGGCCAGTTTATTCAAGTGCCGCCCATCTTTTCCCCCAGAGCTGCGCAGGTGGTTGTGAGCCACCCAGTGTGGGAACTGAACTCAGCCCCTCTGGAGGAGCAGCAAGCACTCTTATCTCCTGAGCCATCTCTTCAGCTCCATGATTTCTGTAAATATTTTAGGGTGTTTACTAGGTTCCTCATAAAAGTTTCATAAGGTTGTCTTGTAATTATAGATCAATTTGAGGAAAAATGGCATTTCTATAGTATTGACCCTTCTGGGATATCAATGTGATGTATCTCTTCACTTACTGATGTCTTCAGTTTCTCTCAATGGAGTTTTATGGTTTTGTCTATAATATTTGCCTGTTACTGAATACACTCCTGGTTATCTTACTTTTGATGCGATTATCAATATAGCTCTTAAAACATCATTCTCTGACTAAAGAAACAGACATGTAATTGATTTTTGTCTGATTGTGTTTATATTGAATCAGCATCCTAATTAAATTCTTATGATGTAGCCTATGGGTTCTTTAAGATTTGCTATATCAACACAAACAGTGCCAGTTTTGTTTCTCCCTTTTAAAGACTTCATCTTTACCACCCTTGTCTTTCCTTACTTCCTGTGGGGCCTTCCGTGCTGCACAGGAGTAGTGCTTCTGGAAGCCGTTGCCCTATGGGAGCCGTTGCTTTGTTCTTGAATTCGGTATAATTTTTTGGATATCTTTTATTAGATAAGGAAGTTTCTAATAAAGAAAACTTGCAAGGTTTGCCAAGAGTTTTATTAACTTTAAATATCTTAGACATTAAATTCTATCAAATATCCTTTCATCTTCCCTTAAGACAATCAGGTTCTCATTGAACCTGCCAATATGAGTTGATTTTTGAATGGATATGAGAGATGGAGATGGCCAAGATATAGAACAAGCAATAGCTTTACCTTTGCACCTTAAACACTGAAGAAAAATCAATGAAATGACTGTTGGCAGAACTGGCCAGAAACAAACAGCGTAGGGCAGGGATCCCGGAAAGGAGGCCCTTAGATGAGCTGTGCCTCATGTCTCTGCCAGCCCTCTGCTTGACATAGGCCACTGAATGGAGACGGGGCTCACCAGGGACCCAAGGTCTCCTCAGGGAAGGCATCTTTGAGAATTTAGGGCCATCGGGGTGATGAGAATGCAGGGCAAAGTAAAAGAAAGCATCCTTGAGGGGTGAGCCAGGGATCCACAGACGTCTGTAGCCTTCGTCTGCGTGTTCACTGATGTATGTATATGAGAAGCCACCTGAGGTAAAGAACTCCTCCCAGGAACCCGGCCCATCCTAGGAGATTCAGGCACATAACAAGACCAGGTAAACATGACATAGTTGTCAGTTCTGGGGTGTTGATCCTTTCAAAGGCTTTTCCTCAGTAATGGGACAAAAGTAGTCTGAGTCCAGGCTGACAATACCTCTAGTAAAATCTGGAGACTAACAGCAGGTGCCACTTCCAGGCCACATCACTGCCTCGAACAAAGCTGCAGAGCAGCTGTCAGCAGAGGCTAACCACAGGCCCACCCTGCCAGCCGCCTTCAAGCGAGGGGTCGCTACATTTTCACCAATGGAGTCACACAGATTCAAGTTTCTGTGGATTCTGTTGGAATGCGAACACACTAACATATTAAGTACTGCATGGCTGTTTTATACTGCAGAACCTAGTGCAGTCATAGAGACTTCTGATAACTGTCTCTGGCTGTTACCAGAAAACACATGCTGCAAGCTTAAATATGCTGTTTTCTTTCCCCTTATCCTCTGTGGATTAATTAGACTTGGTGACTAGATCATTTCCCTCCTGCTCCCGGCCAGCTCCCAATGCCATGTCCCATCATCCCCCCATATTATTGTCCTGGCATCTGCTTCACCTTTGCTGCTCCCACTCATTTCTCTGTCATGTTCCTCCCTGGCTCTCACCTGCCTCTGCAGGTAGAGCACAGTGGGCAGAGTGGCCTTGTTACAAAAGTCATAACATTACCTCCTTGGAGCCCTGCATGGCTCTCCATTTCACCCAACCTAAAAGACACATTCCTTACAGTGGTCTGCAGAGCCCTGCCAACAAGATGCTTTCTTCCCCATCTTCATCTGCTTCTCTTGGCCCTGCCACTCAGTCTCTCAGACACGTAGATTTCTATGCCATTCTCTGTACATTCCAGGGATTCAGCCACCTGAAGGCCTCTGCCGGGCACTCCCTTTGTGTGGATGGCTTGTTCACAGAATAGTGGTTTCCAACATATGATCAGCAGCATCAGATTCCTGGATATGGTTTGAAATGAAAATTCTTGAGCTTCACAGCAGGCCCCTGAGTAAGGAACCGTGGTGAAAAGTTCACTTGTTCATCTGGTCGCCCAGAACTGATATAACCACACAGAAACTGTATTATTTAAATCACTTCTTGGCCAATTAGCTCTAGCTTCTTATTGGCTAACTCTTACATCTTAGTTTAAACCTCTGTTATTCTGTGTATCACCACGAGGTCGTGGCCTAGCAGCAAAGATCCAGCACATCTATCTCCCATGGTAACGTCATTGTGTCTCCCCAACTCATCCTTCCTTCTCCCAGCATTCAGTCCAGTTTTCTCTGCCTACCTAAGTTCTGCCCTATCAACAGGCCAAGGCAGTTCCTTTATTCATTAACCAATAAAAGCGACACATAGACAGAAGGACCTCCCACACCAAGGAACTCTGAGAACGATAGCAGAGTCTGAGTCTCTGTATAATAATTAACTTCTAGCCAGCAAATACAAACAGGATCCTGATGTCGGCCAGCCCCCCCGGGCACCTGCTGTTTGAAGACTGTTGTTGTAGATGAAGATATTTCTTCTTGCTCACTTCCTGGCTCCTGCTCTCTTTAAAGTATTGGTCACTGGGGCTGGAGAGATGGCTCTGCAGTAGAAGACATTTCTACTCTTCCAGAAGACCCAGGTCTTCAGAGGACTCAGATTCGATTCCCAGCACCCACACAGTGGCTCACAACCAGTTTATTCTAGTTCCAGGGGATCCGATACCTTCTTCTGACCTCCATAGACATCTTGAACACATGTAGTATATGGGCATACATGCAAGCAAAATACATAAAGTAAATAAATATTTTAAAAGTTACTACAACCAATGTCATCTGAGGCTCGTCTATTTATGACATTTTGTAATATATTCTGATGTACTTCTAGTATACCTATTTTCAACTGTATTCTGAAATATACTTATTGTTCTACTCCCTGCACTCTCTACTGTGAAATGTAAGTTCTTTGTGGGTTAAACTCCTTGCTTTTTTTTTTTGTTGTTGTTGTTGTTGTTAGTGACGTAAACCAAACATTTCGGGGATTGCTGAAATTCCTTCCACTGACACTCAGCACGTAGCAGAGTGAAATGTGGACTCTGAGCAGTCATTAGGTCAGAGCATCGTGTGTGTGATTCCTAGTAGATTCAGCTGTGCTTTGGTGGTACCTTTGATGCTTTGGCAAGGACTCAGAGGCTTGTGTATTTCTCCTGGGTCTATGTGTTTTGAACTCCAAGAAAGTCACACAGAAGTGCTGGGTTGTTTCACAAAGCTGGGCTAATGTTCTTAGTTAATAACTAGGAGCAAAATGAGGAGGGGCACAGGAATCGCGACTCTTGCCACAGTGCTTCCCTACAGATTAATCTTTCAGGGTTTTGTACGGATAGAACCACAAAGTTTTACAATGATTGTTGGGGAATAGAAAGGGTTGCTTATCATGTTTACATTTCGAACATTTTAAAGAACACAGACACCTGTGGGTGACAGCTGCATTAGCCCAATTTCCATGTCTTAACGTTCATATTCTTGATCTTTCTAGAGCAAAGAAGACTTTACGAACATTTGCATCGAGCCTGATACTGTCAGCAAAGGAGATTTCATAACCATAGGGTAAGTGCCTTGCTTGTGGGAAATGGAGGTTCATGAAATAACTTGTGTTGTCAACCCTTTCTGTTCGGAGTGGGCTGTCTACTTCAGATGGAGACCCGGCAAAGGCCTTGTCTGTCTCCCTGTCTGTCTGTCTGAATCCTTTGCCCTCTGTAAAACAGAAGAAATCATGTCTACTGTCTCAGGACTACTTGTCAGTCTCCAGGAGGCTTTTGACAGTGAGCCTCACTCCCCAGTATCTCTTACTGTGCATGCATTCCCTCTGTCTCCCTGTTCCCAGAACATCAAGGACAAACTTGAAAGGACACTGCATACCTGGACATTTCCCAGGTTTCCCTTTAGTAATCCAGTAGACTCCTCAGAGTTCTGCCTGATTTGTTAAGTACTGCCTCAGCTGGAACTTCATTGGCTGAGAATTCTGTAACCCTCCAGACATCTCCCAAGTATCTGTGGAGCTGTGTGTTCCCATGCCAACCAGTAATCTGCTCAGCTGCCTTTGCATTGTCCTGGTGCTCCCTCTCGTGCCCACTTAGGGATTGGACATTGCTGCTGTTGCAGCTGCGTCTCCATGGCTGCGTCATTATCGATTCCAGCGTGGGCAGCAGAATGGCTTTCATTAATCTGTGTTGTTCTTGCCTTTGATACAAATTCTTCAGATACTGAATGGCTCCTTGCAGCCTTTGATTATTCTCGGTGTATAGTAAAGGAAGAAGGAAAAGGCTGTCCCTCTACAGTGTGCACAGATCACACAGTATCTTGAGTGATTGTGGCTAGTGGTGGCAGCCATATTCAAAGCTCCTTTATAAAATTGACACCAAACAAAACTTGCCCTGTATCCCTCAGTTAGATGGCGCTGTCGTCAGCATTCTTATCAGCAAGTTTCCTTTTGGTTCCTAAGGGAAGTAAATTTGTGTAATTCATGTGTCCACTGCATATTGAAAAGGCTAGAGGGGAGGTGCACAGCAGACCAGAGCCCTGACAGAGACCAGACCCTAGTTTCAGTTCACTAGAATGAGGAAAGCAAGAGTTCTCCGGAAAACAACAATAAGGGTGGCCATCAGGTACTCCGACTAGTCCTTCTGCAGGCTCATCAGGGTCCCAAAGCCCTTCTGCTAGCTCAGCAGATGCCCCCCAGCCTTCCACAAGCTAAAGATAGCTTTCCCTACCCTGCCACCAGAAAGTACCTAACCACTTGGCCTCCCACCAGTCAGTTCTCACCAGTCAGCTCCAAGACTGATTCCTCTACCAATCAACCCCAGATATATCCCTCCTTCCTCGAATTCCATTAACTCCACTTAAATGGAGCCTGTAAGCTTCTTTGGGGAGTGGGGGGATTGCCATTTTGCCACCCCAGTGTTGGAACCAATAAAGTGCTCTTGTTATTGTATACGTGGCTGTTGATCTTTCTTTGGGGGCTTCTCTTGGACCCTAACAAATATCTTAGTGGAACATGGGGAAGCAGCTTTTGAAACGCTGATGACAAATCTATACAGGAAAGAATTCTTTCCAAATAAAGATAGATAATAGACTTTTTACTCTTTTTGTTTGTTTGTTTGTTTATTTTGAGACAGGGTCTCTTAGACCCAAGCTTGCCTTTAACTCCCCAGGTAGCTCAGGCTGGCTTAAACTCCTGCCTGTTTACTTTCCCCACTTTTTATATTTATCATAACTAGTGAAATGGGGTACATATGCATTGAGGTCAAGTGTATTTGTGCCCGATTGCTTTACTGGGGCTGCGTGCTCTGTCCTGCACCAGGGCAGAGGCCTATGCCGCTCACATGAGGGGAGCGAGGCACCAGAAATGGCGTGCTAGGCTAGGGAAGCCTATTACCTCCGAGTCCATGCCTCCGAGTGTCACCTGCATGCGAGGACCAGACTGCGTCCTGAGACCTCAGTCAAGCAGGAAGCTCGTACCAGTCACAGCTCACACCTCTAGCCTAGACAGCCAGCCTCTGGGCCCTCATCTCCCTTGCCTCCCTGCTGAGGAGAATGTGGCACTCCCACAGATCACCCCACCCCTCCTGTCAGCATCCCTCTGAGAGGGACAGCTGGCAATCAACAGTCAACAGGGGTGGGAAATCATCGGACACTAGTTATCACTTTGCGTCTAGTGATTAGTGGGGACTTCCTGTGGTTCCACAGCCATATGCTCACATGATGTCTCTGGATGAGGGTCGGCATTCGGGAGCCCAGCCTTCGGTCCACCTCCTGGTGGGGTCAGCCCTTATGTGAAGATGCCAGGCGAACCGAAACAGAAAAACATGTGCCTTCCTAACTGAATGGGCTGACAGACAACACAAAAGAAGGAAAGGATGGGGATCGCAGTGCTTACTTGCTAAAGGGACTGAGGAGCCTTTCAAAAGAAGGAGAGGATGGGGGTCCTGTGCTCACCTGCCGAAGGGACCAAGGAACCTTTTCACTGAAAATACACCATATTGGGGACACTGCAGCACTGGGGGTGAGGAGAGGAAGGTGACTAGAACCTGTTCTGGGCAAAACACAAAAATTACAGCCACAACAAAAAAAGGACTCTGACCAGGCAAGCTCCAACCCTGTGTTAGAAGGCCCTGTTCCGGATGCCAGATGTTGCTGGGCCCTAACGTCTTCCTCGGGGGAGAGGGCGAAAAGGTGAGGTGTCAAGGTCCTAGACACTGGGAGTCAGGTAGAAGGCTTACAGCAGACTTATTTAACAACAGGGAAAAGCTTATAAACCCTCCCAGCACCCAGGCGTTCTGATCCATTTACAGTTGGCATCTCATGCTTGTCTCTCATTGGCTAGGCACGATCAGGATCTCTGACAATGCCTGTTGCTAGGCACTCAGGAAACATCACTAGGTCGCTCCTTATTGGTCAGGGCCTCTGACAACAGGCAGACTCCAGGTTGGCTCCTTTTGACCTGGTAGGGCCTAAACTTCCTACAGTGAGCTGGAGAGAGACCAGTGAGCCCTGGGAGATTTTGTTAGACTGACCTCAAAAGAGATGCTTCCTCATCCATGAGGCCACAGAGGTGCACTCAGAACCCCTTCTCTCTGCAGGGAACTGAGGGGTCCTTCAGCATCAACAGCGAGGAGTATGAAGCCATGCCTGTGGAGGTGGCGCTGCTGCCCAGGAAACTGCAGTTGTTCTGTGACCCACGGAAGAGGGAGCAGATGCTGCAGGGCCGACTAGCATACGGACAGGGAGAACTAAAGATGCAGGTGAAAGAAAGCTGAATTAGACGACCCTTGGAACAAAACAATTTTTTTGCTGGATTATCTATGTGGGCCAAGTATAATCATAATGTTGCTTTTAAGTGCAAGAGAGAGCCAGAGAGGGACCAACCATTCTTTCCATTGCAAAGGGAAGGAGTCATTCACCAAAGAAGGCAGGAATTTTCTAGAGCTGACAGAGACATGAGCATAGATTTCCTGCTTAGCTTCAGGAAATTCAGCCAACACTTGATTTCAGTGGCAGGAAGTGAAGAGAGATGGGCCTCATCTTACTCACTTGCATAACTGTCCATAGGTTCAGTATCTTACAGTCTGTTGAACTAGGGCTTAGTTCCTTGCTGGCTCTTGACCTGGTGATTCTTTTTATTCCCTGTCACATATTCCAGGACAGTTCGTAGCATTATGACTATCTTCAGTCAAAGTAATGTTTGCATTATTTAAAAATACAGTTTTAATAAATGAGTCCATGTAGAAAGCTGTACAAAGGCTAGAGGCTGGAGAAGAGACACTATGATCAGGTCAACAAAAGGAAAGCCCCTTTTGGATCATAGTATGGTTATTTTTTAAAATTAGGCAAATATCTACCTTAAAACTCAGCAATACCCCTTTTGAGCCTAAACACAAAAGTTGTTTAACCATACCATAAGGACCTGTGCTCAGCTATGCTTATAGCAGAATAACTTTATCATAGCCAGATTTTGAAAACAACCCAAATGTATCTCTTTTACACCTAGGATAAAAGAGACATCCTCCTTTTAAACAGCCATGAATACCAAAAAATATCTTGGAGTAACTCTAAGCAAGCAGGACAGAAGTTTGGGTCCTGTCATCTTTGCTTATGAAGGGGGAACTGTTTATTTTTATTTTTATTTTTAACCATTATCCCTTGTTAGAGTGTAACTCTTGCCCTTGATAAATTTAGTAAGAGGTCTGAATCTCAGCAGTCCAATGTTGTAGGCTCATCATAGATCAATAGAGAGCACCAGGTACCAGTTTCCTGTCCTCTTGGGATCTGGGAGAGTTAGGTTACACAGGTACTGATGTTGAGGGGTTGGAGTCCCCAAACATACTTTTGTTAAGGTTAACTTTTTCTGTTGCCCCCATCTACAGGACGTATGAGTGTTGAAACTGCCAGATGAGGCTATTTTCTCATAATAGGGAGATCCTGCTGACAGGCATAGCCAGCAAGACTGTGTCAAGCTGGGGTCAGTACTATTTAGCAAGAAAAAGGCTCCCTGCACAAGGTTGAATAGTTCTTGGCTGGTGGTGGGAGGTGTCAGCAGAGAAGCAGGGAGAGTAGCTTAGTCCAGTCGGCAGCAGCAGGCCCTGGTCAGATAGTACTTGGTTCTCTACCTTAGCATAATTGGGAAGGTGGCACCTAAATCTTGCTGCTGTATCTTGTTTGGGAAACACCATCGCATGCCCCAAGTCCTTCCTGACACCCATGGAGACAATCCTGCTGCTTGCCCCTGGGAGACAAGTGTGGGAGATGTCACAGGTTCCTGTGCTCCATATGGAGCTTTGCTTTGGAAGTATAATTTTTACGAACAGTTATCCAGTCCCAAGAAGAACTAGGTTTTCAATAAGCATCCCCAGTAGTTTTATATTTTCAGGTACCACAGTATAAAAATCTAGCTTTCCCAGGTAATGATGTAGGGAACCTGGTCTGGATGGCCATGTGGGCAGGTTTGGAAGTTTTTTTTTTTTTCTTAAACCAATCTATATATTTTAATAATGTCTTCACTTTAGAATGGAAGTAAAAAAATCTGTTGTGTTGTGGGAGAGTTTATGCCTTTTTTTGTAATATAATTTTTTTATTGAAAAAAATTCTGCCTCCTCCTCGCCTCCCATTTCCCTCCCCGTCTCCCTTTTCCCTCCCCCTCCTCCCACTGTTTTTCCCTTCCCCCCACTCCTCTCCCCCTCCC